CACCCCGCATAATTTAGCAAAATGATATCATTTTTTGCATAATTTCTGATTATTTTGCTATATCATTCTTTATTTAAATTTTACAGAATCGCTTTATGTCACATTTTTGGGCTCAGTTTGCATAAAATTCAGAATTTTTCTTGCATAAAACGACGGGGACAGATATAATCCCCAGACCTGTTTATGAACATTGTTACCAGGAAACTTAAATTTGTTTGAGTTTAGCTCGAAATTGCTAAAGGCAACCCATTAAGCGTTCCATCGTCGGATCTTGCAGAGAATGTTCAGAGTCGAAAAGTGCGCTGAACTGCGCATTGAGCCACTAATTATAACGACCCTTTAGTGGTGGGGGTAAAGTAATCCGGCAGGTGCAATATTATAAATTATAGTAACCTAGTCCAAAGCGTTTGGGTCACTACAGAATATTATACATGTAGTTTAAAAGGGGGTAACTCTATGCCCAGGAGTAACAACGCCCTTCGCATTTTCTGAGTCCTTTTAACTGAACCACGTGTATTTCAATTTTTTAAAAATATGTTTTTAGTTTTAGTAGAGGTTTTACGGCGCTCGCAACTGCACACGGTCATATGAGCGCTAGAAGATTAGATGTGTTACAAGAGAGTAACAAACATTTAAAAAAGAAGGGGAGATAAGGACGATAGATGTTTGATAGGAAAAAAATAAGAAAACCACACCAGAGCACCCGCCAACCACCCACAAAAAAATATGTTTTCTTTAATACAAAGTACGAGACTGAACACGACAAATGTGTTGAACAAAGAAGTAAGACAAATTCACGGCCTCTTTTTAAAATAATAAAGAGTGCGACCGCAATATCCCTGATAGATTACACAAACGTCTTAACCAATTTCATGGCCCCTAATGGCTGACTGAAAATGATTGTTGTCTTTCGTTTTAGCCAAAAAATGCTATTAATAGGTCGTTTTAAGGACAAGCGGGCTAACTCAGATTTCTGGAGTTTCAAAAATCTTGATCTACACCAAAAGTGGGGAAGTTTGGGTTCATTAGTGTGTATATTTGTTTGGTTATAGAGAAAACTCTCCTTGTCTTTTAAAGAAACTGAACAAGGGTCAGAAGAGTTTACCTTCGATTTTCTCAAAACATCATTTTCCGGGATGGCCCCCTTGTGCTTAAAAGCCACCAATTATAGCTTAGTCTTCTTCTTTGCGTTCCTCTGCTAGTCTATCTCAGGGGTAGTCAACCATTAATTCTTCAACCTAGGCTGTTGAGTAACTGATGGTTTTTAAGCATGTGGCCGTTTGTGTTACATGTACATACTCCCCATAGGTTTGTACACCGACTACAGTACTTTCAGTTTTGGAAGCAATTAATTTTTAAATTTTATTCGGATGGCGATCGAAGCCTATGCTACTTTTATTGATTTTAGGGACCACCAAGGTATCATTAGCGCGCGCAACTTGCACACGGGACATCCGAAAGTTGACGTCCTTTATCCGAGAATGCTAGGTGCAAAGATTCTCTATTGAGAGTAAATGAGAGGCCGGCGGTTGAGGGGGGGGGGGGGCAGTGTGGAGAAAGTAGAAATAAGAGAAGACAAAATAGGAAAGGAGGTGACTAGATACAATTTTAGAGTAAATGAAATTGGTATGCTACTGAGTGGGCAGTGCAACGCTTTAACACTATGACTGGGTGAATACATTTTCAAGTCTCTTTTGGACGTCACTGAATGTAGAACGTTTTGGTAGTCAATTAATTAAATAGAAAGACCGAGCCAGCGTACGCGTGTATCTGTGTGTGGTGTGTGTGTGTGTGTGTGTGTGTGTGTGTGTGTGTGTGTGTGTGTGTGTGTGTGTGTGTGTGTGTGAGAGAGAGAGAGAGAGAGAGAGAGAGAGAGAGAGAGAGAGAGAGAGAGAGAGAGAGAGAGAGAGAGAGAGAGAGAGAGAGAGAGAGAGGTGCGGGGGTGGATGGGCAAGTTTACAGGAACCTGCAAACTAGTTATAGATTTTCTGTATTGATTCCTGGAAGTCAAAATATGACATTTTTGTTTGTTGAAGTTTAAAAGGAAGCAAATTCCACTACCATCATCGCCAGTTCCTCCTTCTCCGACTGCTAGCTCTTTCCCCATTTCCCACGTTTTCATTCTCATCCCGTTCCTCTTTTCATCCTCCACTTCCTTTGGCAACTTTCCCGTCCTCCTGGTGCCCCCCCCCCTCCGCCCACATTTCTGCTGATCTCTCTCTCTCTCCCTCTATAGTAGGCCTACTTAAACTACAAGAACGTGAGCGTCTTCAATTTTTTTTGGGTAAATGTTTTACGGCGCTCGCAACCGCATAAGGTCATAGATCTATGAGCGTGCAGAACACATTAAACTTTTTCAGTTGGAAGGAAATTTTGAATGTTTGCCCGGGTGGCGGCCGAAGCCTACTCTTATCGATTTTAGACCACCATGGGATCTTAAATGTGCGCAACTTGTACACAGGCCCTTCGATATTTTTCGCCCTTGTCCGAGAAGGCTAGGTGTAGATCTCTCCTACCAGAAGATCAGGGGTGTGGCTGAAAGACAGCAGTAAGAAGAAGCCAAGGAGTAGCAGTAAAAAGGCTGCAGCAACAGTCAGGAGCCCAGAGGAGGGGGCAAAGGAGGTGAGGGGGTGGGGGCAGAAAGAGGAGACGAAAGCAGACGACAGAACATTGCTAGGGAGCAGCAAAGGAGATGACAGGAGGCAATTTTAGAGAAGAAAATTTTTCAGTTGCTACCCGGATTCGAACCCCGGGACCTTTGAACGAAAGACCAACATCTTAACCTCTAGGCTACAAGAGTCCCCGTCTTCAAGTTTGTCCACCTCAGCATCCTTCAGCAGAGTGTGACAACATTGTAAAAGTACACAGTAGGTAAGTAAAGGACACAAGGAAACGTCCATCTCACTAGCAAAAAATGCTATTTTTCTCAAGTAATGGAATACACATGAACAAAAATGTAAGTCTATTAATGGTAAACCGTAATTTTAAAAACACCATTGTGACTAGACCTGATTGGTGTTAGTTCGACATTAAGCTAAAAGTAAAAGTATTCAAGACTACAGACATCGTTTTGAGCATTTACCTTTCTTAAGAGACCACTTATCAGGAAAGGAGAGATTTTCAATAACATACACACCAAAACAAAATAGTAGATATATTCCTTTTACACTTTAAGAAATCTTACAACTTGCAACAAAACATACAAATCGAACAGAGGGATACAGAGAAAAGATTTGCCCTCTTTCATCCATTCCAATAAGTCTAAGTGCTCTGAGACATTTAAAATATAAACTCAAGAGACAAAAGACGTAGGGTTTTCAAATATAAAAAAATGAGGTTTTATTACATTTGGTAAAATGGGTGTGACAAAAGATGCTTCACTCATAACACAATCCCTTTGTCAGGTATTTTCATTCTAAGACTGCGAACATTCAAGCCATGGTTGACAACATAAAACATAAAACTGAGATCACATATATTATTACATGCATTCATTCTACCACCCAAAATGATGATTCACACTTCTTACAACTGAATTTATCAACACCATCTACACAGGCACCAATAATATATCACGGCAGCAGAGATATTATGGAATGCATACATACAGAGTTTCTCTTGCTCACACAGAAAAAGATTTGCACTTGCCAGCACATGCACACACATATAAAATCTATGACATAACATACCACATCCAAAGATATCTGATTGTTTTACTTCTTCTCCTCACTTTATCTTTCTCCAGACTCTCTTTTCTTCAGTTATCATTTCAATCAAACAGAATGACAAGACTCCACTCAAACAAAGGTTTGTTCATTCATGCCATTCTTTATTTCTCTCATCATTATCCCTTATTTAAAATCATAAAGCTTCATTCCCTCTCTATCCTTTTCTTCAACAGCTATATGCCATTCTGATGGCATCCTACTTTTCCACACTTCAAGACCTTCTGACAAAACAATTCAAATGCAATAAATTCAGTGTAACTCACAGTGAATATGATAAGTGTAGGTTTCTACTCCCTCTTGTTAGCTTTCTCAACCACTATTTTCAGTAATCTCCTGCACAAATCTCTTCTTCACATAATAGAGAACTATCCAGTCTCTGAACAGAATTTACAAAAAAATTCAAGGAAGGTATTTTTAAATCCACATCAAAATAATTCAGAACATTTAGGAGGCAGGCTTCAACCCTGCGTCTAAGGGCCAGTCTGGGCTGATAGAGGGATGTAACTCAACCCTGCCTCTAAGGGCCAGTCTGGGCTGATAGAGGGATGTAACATTCAAGCGGAGAGGACTAGGTACTCCATAAAAATGTTCCACATGGGGGAATCTATGCCAGTCTTTATCATGAGACACTGACAGGGAACCACTTGGCTTCTGCACCACAGATGCTGGTCTCTGAAAGGGTAACCAGGCTATGTTGTTGTTGTTTTCAAATCCCTTTAGCTGCGAGCATTTCACTCTTGGCAGTGCAATGCCTCCCTTAAGTAACTCCCTTAAGTAACCACATGTCCCTGTCATCTGGTCAACCAGACTATAAGAGCTTGCAAAAATCTAAAGCAAGCACAAAGGAACCTGCTCTAAGGGCCACCTATATAAGACAATCATCTGTCTACACAGCCACTTCTCATTTCCTCCCTTGCGTATTCTGTGTATTTTACGACACTGTGTTAGGCAGCCACCTGTCTCACATGGCTATGTTTCTCCTCCACAATAGGCAGCTCTCTTAGACGATTTTTACTGTAGTTTCATACTACAGCAACATTTTTATTCTTCCAATTACTGATAAGATTTCTTAACCCTATCCGTACATCGTGTTTTACTATCGTATCCGTACGTCGTGTTTTACTATCGTATCCATACGACGTGGGTAACTCTGTGACACCACTTTCCAAAGAGGAAATTTGCTTGTTAATCCGATCCGTACACTTTGCATAGCAGTCTGTCAAAATGATTTTTTGAGAAATACTGAAAGTTTCAAAGAGACCTTCGCACTAGAAGAATTCTAAAATGTGAAGAATACAACCCCGTGGATACAAAATGACCCAAGGGCGTACGGATAGGGTTAAGAAGCAGAACCACATGCAGGACAGCTGTTTCTTTATTCTTATCACAGTATTCTGAGCTCTAACACAGACATAAGCCTATAATAATAATTCATTGCGGAGGTGACAGCAAGGAATCAGTGGTTATTGCAATGGTATCATCCCCAGCTAAAATCTCATCATTTTCGTCAAGTTCATCATCGTCATTCTCACTGTCGTTGTCCGACTGAGACATGGTGGAGATGAGCCAGGAGAACAGGATGATCAACAGGAAGACGGACACCGTGTACAGTAACGTCAGCTCGTAGTTGTGCTGGAGCTTCAGAGAAAACCCAATATATCTGCGGAGGAGACATTTTAACTTGGTGAGTTTTTTTAGTTTTAGTTTTAGTAAGAGTTTTATTGCACTTGCAACACAATAAGGTCATATAAGTGTCGAAGATTAGAGATGTTACAAGAGAATAACAAACACAAAAAAAGGAGTCGGGGAGATAAAGACAATAAACGTTTTATAGGAAAGAAGAAGCAAACCACATCAGAGCAACCGCCAACCACCCACGGTGAGTTTTACGGCGCTTGCATCTACACAAGGTCATATGAGCGTGTGGGACACAAGTTGCTTGTTTTCGTGTTAGTTCACAGCATGTCTTGGTTTTACCTTGCAAGTCAGAACGGTTGAAGTTCAAAATTCATGGAAAAAATTCAGTTGTTAAAAACAATCGTGTATATTTCTATAATAGTACCATCACATTAGAGCTATGTTTTCCCATAGCAAAACGCTCCCTGAAAATTTATGTCAGGCTTTTTCCTTTTGTATGTAAAAATCATATGACTCAAATTATTTCTACTTTTCACCATTCCTCTGTGAGGGTCATCATGTTTGATGTGACATTGATAAGCACTTTGAGATACAACTGTTACTTTGGCAACAACTAGTGGTGTGCAGTTCATTTTGCAAACTATGTACAGATTATAATAAGCAATTTCTTCATTTGCTATGATCATTTCCACCTAACTTTTTGCACAACCCTTGCAGTTCCTTAAGTCCAGTATCAAAATCACAAAACTTATTCATAACATGCCAAAATAACCCAAAAAGTCTGGCCCCCTGAAAAAGTATGACAAGCCAACTCCAATATAATGAGAAAGTTAATTTGTCCTACCCTTTTTTGCAGGTGAGAATGAGGTCCATGAGACCATCGTTGTCGAAGTCCCCGTAGACCAGCGGTCCCGTGGAGGGTGCAGGAATCGAGTGCTGAGCAAGGAGAGTTCCCTCCACCAAGTCAACAACTGAGATCATGTTCCAGCCCGTCACTGCCACCGCCACCTGAAGAAACAGACCACCAGGATTTACTTGGAGGAGAACAGAGTGGAAAAAACAACTCCCAAAGAAATATAATGTTATCCGAGTCAGTGGTACAGGGGGTGGATGGAGGCTGTGAAGTTTCAGGGGTGTAGATTTATTTTATTTTCAGCTGGTCTAACCACAGTTTAATTTTTTCAATGTCTATATTATTTTTACGACACTAGCAACACAATAAGGTCATATAAGTGCCGAAGATTAGAACTGATACAAGATAGTAACAAACACAAAAAAGAAGGAAAGGAGATAGAGAAGATAGATTTTTTAAAGAAAAGAAGGAGCAAACCACACCAGAGCACCCGTCAACCACCCACAAGAGACAAGCTTCAGCTCAAGAGGTGATCAGGGATGGATATAATAATTAGAACAGAAAAACCCTTGGCAAACTGCTCTATCATTTAAAAAACAAACAATCAACAAAACAAACAAAACAACAACAACATTTGTCTCTGGTCCCTGAGGAGCTCCAACCTCTAAAATAATGTCAGTTTAACGCTGCGGAGGTAACCATAGTCCCATTCTGTGTTAGTAACTCTTGAAAAACAATATCTATCCATACCTTTGGTCCAGACACTTCAAGAGGCATAAGGATACGACTGGGTTCAAATGACATGAAAAATTCCTCCTTTACATCATCTGGCACTGGCCGTCCCCCCGAACGTCTCATGTTCAAGGACAGGTCACCCCAGCGGGACTCCGTCAAGGTCTGAAAACATTTGGAAAAGTCCATTCACAAGCTAATAATAATATCTAGCTATTTTCTTTGAAAAAAAGTCAAACATTTTGTTTTAGTCAATACAAAGAGTGTGTGAAACCTATCTTTATCTATGAACTGACATTATAAGGTAAATACAAGAAAATAAAGGGTTATCATTTGGAAATCTATCTCAAGAGATGAACATGGAAGAATTTTTTTGTTTTAGTAGAGGTTTTATGGCGCTCGCAACTGCATAAGGTCATATGAGCACCAGAAGATTAGAGGTGTTACAAAAGAGTAACAAACATAAAAAAGAAGAAGGGGAGATACGGACGATAGATGTTTGATAGGAAAGAAGACGCAAACCACACCAGAGCACCCGGCAACCACCCACAACAGGGTAGAATAAAATAGTAACACATGAATGAGAAGGAAATATAGTGGTAGGGAAGAGATGGAGTTGCATGAAGGATATAGTTTGAGCACTTACCAGGTTGACAATAATATTGAATGTTAAGCGTATGTGGGTGTGTGTGCTAGTGTGTGCGAGCGTATGTGTGCAGGGGTTAGGGGGGAAGAGATCTAAGATAAATGGAAAATTGGAATGAATAAAGCCAGTTAAGCACACAAGAGGGAAATTGAAAGAGGCTTTGATCAAAAAATGAAACTCAGCGCTATTGAAGTTTAAAGCACACAGCTATGTGTAATGTAGGTTTTTAAAAAAAAAGAATACAGATCTAAAAAACTATCACCTTAACATTAGTAATAATAATAATAAATGAATTTATAATGCGCCAGAATCCAAAAAAAGTGCTCGATGGCGATAACAAAACACACACACACACAAGCTCTAAAGCTCAGTACCACTACGACATGCATACATTTTTTAAAAATAAATAAATAAAAAATTACAGGTATTTCAGATATAAAGTTCCAGCATTAGATCTATATATACTTTCCTGAATAACATTGTCTTCATTTTGATTTAAATTGATCAACTGAAAGAGACATTTTAACATCTAAATCCAAATTGTTCCAAAGTTTTGGGGCACAGATGGAAAAGGCCCTTCCACCCAACATAATGTCAAGATTGTACAAATTGTTAACAAAAGGACACTACTACCAACCTGCCAGTGAATGTTCCCGTCTATTCCGACAGAGCTCACTCTCCCCAGGCCTCCAAAGACGATGACGTCATAAGAATTGTCTTGAAACAAGTTATGCCCCAAAAAATGTCTCAGAAGGCCCGTTTTCCTGGCGACACTGGAACATGACAGTGAAAACATAGATTTGAGGCAGATATTGGGTGTACGGTGAATTTACATGATATGAATCGGAGAAATAGTGATTAAAAGTATTGTAAGAAAACAGAGGAAAGCAAAGGGTGTTTACTCAAATAGATAAATATTAACCCATTTTACAGTACAATTTAAGTCAAAAGCAAATGAATACCAAGAGTGCATTTGATTCCTTCAAAAACAAAGTGATTCTGTTTACAATCTTAAAATGCCACCAAAAAAAAAGAAGTTTTATTTCCATTAGAACACTGTAATTTAAAGACATCAATACACATTAATTTGCTTTAGGTTAAAAAAAAAAATCAGTTACAAAATTTAAAAAGAAAATATTTCTGAAATGACACTTAAGCCAGACATGCCAACCACTCCAAGACAAAGAAAAGTTTTTTCCCCCAAAATAATATACGTTTTTGGGGGGAAAATGGGAGTTTCCAGAACCCGAGAAGATAACAATTATGTGACAAACTGATTGTGACAAATTAAATAAACATAAAATACAAAGCAAATAACTGTAAATAAAAATGTGCGTTTTTATGTCTTTTATGTTATGACAAGGCACATAAGACCTGACAGAAATGGAATATGTTACATATTTGCATCTTTTATCTTTTTCACCTTTTAATAACTCGTGGAGGAATTTTCTTGTAAACATCTTCCTCCAGGCTCCATGAGCGAGTCCAAAAAAGACGCTTGGAAGTGCAGACAGCAATCTGATCAATCTGCTCTTGCACTGGCTTCACACGCCAGATGTCTAGGAAACAAGGGGAATAGTGCTGGGGAAGATCCAAACATCCGTGGAATCCACGGTGGAAAATGTATCATGTAGGAAATCATAGTTTACACGCGACACTAAACGGTGGCCTAGTGGTTAAGCTACCAGACAAATAATCGTGAGGTTGCTGGTTCGGGGGTTCGAGCTGCGGGCCCGACGTTGAGTCCTTTGGGAAAGGCACTTTACACAAATTTTCCCCACTCCACCTGGGTGGGAACGGGTACCCAGCTATAGAAAGTGAAAAATCTTGTCAGTTTGTTAGTGTTTGAGCGCTTAACCAGCTGCTTGCACTGTATGCTTCCTGGGAAGCTGAGAATGTTTCTGAGTGTTCTATGGTCTGCTGGAGTAATAATATAGTGCAAAGCACATAGAGCTTGCTTTCAAGTGGGGACATGCGCTATACAAATGCTGTTTATTATTTATTATTATTAAAATGGGGAAAAAATACAAAAGTCTGATTGTCAATAGTGAAAAAGGTTGCTCGGTTAACTCCTTCCTGCACTGTGTGCATACTTGGTAAGCCTTTATATTTCACTGCTGCGAGTGCAGTGGAGTGCCTGGTACGTTAATATGTTTGCCACCGTGTGTACTGTACGCCCTTGAAAACTTGTCTTTTGTTTTATTTGTATCTTCGCTTATTTATAACCTTCAATGGAAAGATATATACCCGGTCCTCTGTGTCTATATGTCGATGTGATCATGTCTATTTTAAGGCTATCATGAGCATAAATCGCACATGGTAGAGTCTAGAAAAAAGAGAGATATGCTGCATGTTTTAAGAGAAAATCAAAGCCAGCCAGCAGGAGACTGCCTTTCTGTGGAAAATAGGCTTGTGGGCTTATGTGTTGTAACTGTGTTGTGACAATATTTTCTTGGATAAAAGACCTGAATCCTCTTCAAGCCACTAGGAGAATGTTTCTTTGGTATGGATGTAGGAGCAATGAAGTAATTTCAAGAGGCAGAAAATCTTTCTTACTTTCTCCTGTTAAACTTAGCAGAATAAAAATTTAGCTAAAAAAATCTCTTTACCTTTGGATTGTATGTTCATTTCTCTTTTAATTGATATACACTTTTCTACATGCACTAGTGCTTATAGTAAGCGAGCTATAGCCCTTCAAAGGAATGAATCATGTCGGACATGGCCTCTGGGAAATTTTTCCTAGCACTCATGGAGGACTTACAGTTAGCAAACAGGTGTTAAATGTAAAAACCTGGGTTTTTTTCATATGATATTGCCAGAGCTCTATTTAAATGTACAAGAAAAGCACTGTAGGTGATAATGAGTCACACCAAACAAAAAAATGGTCGCTTTTAAGGACAAGCGGGCTAACCCAGATTTCGGGGGTTCCCAGAAATCTTGACCTACACCAAAAGTGGGCATTGCCCTATCTATAGGAGAAGTTTGGTTTCATTGGTGTGTATATTTGTTTGGTTAGAGAGAAAACTCTCCTTGTTTTTTAATGAAAACCGAACAAGGGGCAAAAACTTTACCTTCGATTTTCTCAAAACAGCATTTTTCGGGATAGACCACTTGTCCTTAAAAGTGACCAAATATGCAACAAACAACAGCTGAACAACAGACAAAACTATAAGAGCAAGGATTTACACTGATATTTTAAAAAGTTATTTTTATCATCACTCATAAACTGAACTTATACTTAGTCTTTATACCTGGCCCATATCCCAGACGACCTTCTCCACATGGCCGTCTCCATCCACATCCAGGTACAGGGCCCGGTCAGCCGGCAACCGGTACACAGTCTTTGGCTGTCCAGTCACCAAGGACAGTACCTGGATTCCTTCAGGTGACTTGATTATAAGACTGATCAAGAAAAGACAAGACAATGAATAAATGTGTGAATGTATGCGAATAGGAGTGTAATGATTTCTTAATTCCCTGACAATACCAGAATCCATATATATGTCCACAATGTTGGCTTAAAGAAAATGTAGAAAATCGAACAAGGACTAAAAAAAACAAACAACCAAAATCAGAACTTGTAAAAAAAAAAAGAAGAAAGGTCTCATTACAACTAGGTCTGTAAATGAGCAGTTTCTGTAGCAGGGGGTTTGTGTCACGTAGAGAAAGAATGAATAATGTAACACGTTGGGAGAAGAGCACTGCAATTGTGTAAGTTAAAAATGTATGAAACATTGGTGCTTCAACTATTCTGTCAAGAAAAGGAGAGATATCAGACAATGACCAAACACAGAAGTACAATAAGTACAATAATTTAGGTTCTTGGAACTTTCAGTACAGCTGAATTCGTCTTACCTGCATTTTCATGAAAATAGTTTAGAAATTTCACACAGGAGAGGTCTTCCATCTTATATAAGGAAACACTTTGGGATGAGAAGGAAAGCAGAGGACAAGATGATTACCAAATATGAGCTCAGCAGACCACATTGAAACTGTTTACACTTTTCACCCAGTACAACAGAAAAAATAAGTCTCCACAGATTTATTGCCATCAACAAGGCACATTGTAACCAGAAAAGAGGTTTATTGCTATCCATATGGCAGATGGTCAGCAGAAAAGAGAGGCTGTGGAAATAGGATTGCAGGAGCAAAGGCAGACCTGTGTTTATCAGGAAATATTCTCTCAAGTTCAACATCCATAGATAAATCTAGTAGTAGTACCCACTTTATACACAATTTTGTGCGAAGAGGAACAAAAGAAAGAAAGAGAAAAGTAGACAGGCAGCTTCGTAGGACTGGCTCGTTTATTTCCCCCCCCCCCCCCCCCCCCCCCCCCGTTTCCTTTGCCAACCCAGCAGTAAACGCTGACCTGTTTGGATTGGTCACATGTTCGTGGTCGCTGTGTGGTCTCTGGCCCCCGTAGGAGAAGCCAATGAGGTGCTCCGGGAGTAGAGCCGAGCCTGTCTGCTGGACGCCCTCTGATGGCTCAGGCACGGATTTCTGCGACCGGGAGGTGGTGTTGAACTGTTTGTTGACGCGCACCATGAAGATTTCAGTGTCCGAGTTCTCTGCCCACATGTGAGGCTGGTGGAATAATAGGATGAAGTAAATGATGAATAGTTGTCGTTATTGTGTCCTGTTTCACACCTAGTTGGAATGATTATGTTCATATTTTGAAAGAACTGTTGCACCACCGCAAACATTTAAGGTGTGGAAATATGAGTAAACTTAAAGATCACGTTAGAGATACATATTGTAAAAGCCAAGATTCAATACACCTTGGACGATTATGGAAAAACACTCTCACTGATCAGTCTTCTACACTCTCAAGACAAGAAAAAACCTCTAAAAAGTTTATCTATAAGCCACAATTTCTTTACAGAGCAAAATTAGCTCCATAGACGGTTTGAAACTTTCTCCATATATATAGCAACATCAACATCAGAGGTCTTTTCTTTTATGTGGAATCAATTCAAATGACCAAAATCTTTAATGCCACCATCACATTTTTTGAAAGTCAAAGCATTTTGTGTTTATAGCATTCGTGGGACCAAGCCTTAAAACATACAAAACATTTGTTTTAAAGTCTCCTCAGATCTAAAGCAACTGATGTTTCATTCAAGGCTTTTTTCCCTTCTGCAATACAGATTGTCTTGCCTGTCAAGTCATCACATAATTATATAGGCATGTTTTTTTCAAAAGCAAAAATCACAGTAAAGAGACAAGTCTTCCATAATGAAAGTACCCTTTTGTCCTCAATATGTGAGGCATCGTGGTGATATCAGGGGTTCGTCAAAATAATTAAATTAAAAAAATTGGCATTTTTCTGACCGTTGGGCAATTTTTAAAATGATTTTCTTTTTTTTGGCTCAACACTTTTTAGGTCCATTTAAAAACACATTTCTGTGTGGATATTTACTGAAGAACATTGATTAAAGACACAAAAAAAATCATTTCAGTTTCTAAGAACTCTAAGCTATGGAAATGACCAACTCTCGCAGTCAATTTCTCTATAATTTCATCTCTGAAACCAGGCGACCCTGACCTCTTTCGATCGCAAATATCTTGACTTCTATAGACGGATATTTTTTTCACCAAAAGCAAGGCAAATGAACAAGCTTTAAGATGATACCAGTAACCCCATATGTAAAAAATTGACCAACGCTTGATTCCACCACATCGCGACACATAGATTATATCATCATCATCATTGCCTTTCTCACCCTGCACCAGGGTATAGGCCACGGACAACAGATTATATGGCTATTTGATAATTTTACCTTACAGGAAGGCTAGTCAATAAGCCAGACTAACTCACCCAGAAGTCGTTCAGCTGGGAGCCATACTCCTCCCACGGGGACTCTCCTTTGTGAATTCTTTTGTGGTGCAGACTGAGCTTCCAGTGATGTGCTTTGTCTCCCTGCAAAGCAAACATTGAAATAATTGACCAAATCACTTTATTCAAATCAAGGAGCAAACTTGACCAACAATTATTTTTTTGAAAATAGACAACAAATCAAGTACGTTGTATTACCCTAGTTATGGCCAATACAATCTTCAATCAATAAAACATTGCTGAAAAAGAAATTCTTGCACGAAATAGCAAATGCATAGCTTGCAAATCTACTTTTATTGATTTTCGTTCCTTATTTTTTTCATTCTCTCTCACTAATCTTATCTTTTTGCTGTTTAAAAAATAAAATAAAAATGAAAGAGTTAATTTCTGTTTGTTCCCCCTTTCATCAGAAGTCTAAATTATCATTTTCCCTCATCAACTCCCGAAGGAGCTTTCCTCCACCTGAGATTTACACTCAATATTCATTACATTATCATCACTGAAAAAGAAACCAAGACAACAAGACACCAAACTGTGAACGCAAACTAACAAAGCGAATCATATGTCAACAGGAGAGGCATGAATCCACAATTATCGTACCTTGGTGTTCTGTTGCTGTTCATCAAAGTCCCCTGCTGTGTGTTTCCACAGCAGAGACCCATCATCTGCACTAAGGGTAAATGTCGAGAAATGAGTCAGCGTTTCGTTATCTTCTTCTGTTGGCATTTCAAGGGTTCTATTTCTGGACTTGTTCTCCTCTCTTTCCTTGATCCTATTGAAGATAGATGTAAAAAAATAGTTAAAATTTCACTTCTCAGCCTTTTCTTCATGCTAATTAGGTGACGGGATGTCAAAACCTTGATTTGATATACCGGCAAAGTAAAAACCAGCTTCTCAAAGATACTGTTTGCAAGATGTCATCTATTGTGAGACCAGCAGAGAACATTACCCCTATCCGTACGTCATATTTTACTATCGTATTCATATGACATGGGGAACTCTGTGCCACCACTCTCCAAAGAGGAAACTTACTCGTTAATCTGATCCGTACGCTTTGCATAGCAGTCTGTCAAATTGATTTTTTGAAAAGTATTGAAAGTTTCAAAGAGATCTTCGCACTAGAAGTATTCTAAAATGTGAAGAATACAACCCCGGGGGTACAAAATGACCCCAGGGCGTACGGATAGGGTTAAATATTAACTGCTCAGTACTCAGGGTGAGACTCCATCAGATGTCACTTTTTTTGGTCAAAATGGCGTATGACAAAGTCTTACACTAAGAAGTGGGAATGAGTTTGTTCCTATGATGATCATGTCAATTCTGTCATCACCATTGCCTTTCTCACCCTGGATCAGGATACAGGTCACGAACAAACAATTTTCACTTTTCCCTATCCTGAGCGAGTCGCTTGATGTCACTCCATATCTTCCCACTTTTCTGTACATCCATTTCCCTGACTCTTCTCCAGGTTCCACCTGGTCTTCCCCTTGATCTTTTACCCTGTGGGTTCCAATCTAACACTTTCCTTGTTATGCAGTTGCTTGACTTTCTGAAAGTGTGTCAAATCCATCGCCAACGTCTTCTTCCCACCTCATCTCTGACTGGGCTCTGTCTCGTTCTACTTAATACTTCCTTGTTGGTGATCCTGTTTGTCCATCTGATCCTCAGCAGCTTCCTCAGACTCTTGTTCAAGAAAACCTGGATCCTCTTTATGCACCTCTGAGATGCGTTCCATGTCTCACATCCGTACAACAGGACAGACTCCACCAGAAGTCACTTTTTTGTCAACATGGCATATGACGAAGCCTTACGCTAAGCAGTGGGAATGAGTTTGTTCCTAAGATGATCATGTCAACTATGTACTAAGAGGTTAAGATACTTACATAAGTTATAAACAAGTTGCAGAGAAGACAAATGGCATGCAGCAGTACTAACAATGTGTTAAAAAGTTCAAAATTTCAAAGCCTGGACCCGGAATTCGACAGATTCCAATTAAACTAGTCAGACTTATGGAAAGGAAACAACTCATAAATATCTTTCGCTTTGAAGCAAGTGAGAGACAAAATGCATAATAAAACAAAATTTTAAAATTAACAAAAATTAAAAACAAACATAGCAGAAGCATATCTCTCCTGGTGCGGTGGTCGCAGCCACAGAGCTAGATTTGTTTTTGCTGACCCCCACATATGGATCATTCCAACTGAAGTGCAGATTCCTGGCCAAGACAAAGGGCTGAGAAAAAATATTTCAAAGTGATCAACACAAAAAAACCCTGAATAATTTAATATTTGAGCAAGCCCGAATCAAACTTGTCACAGAAATTGGCTCAGAGACCTAAAAAAAAGCACCATTTACTTTCTGTCTTTTTCTGTCAAATCATTTTAAGAAAAAAACAAAAATTCAAGCTACAACACCCCCCCCCAAAAAAAAAGTAATATTGCAGTACATAAAACAAAACGTCATACTTAGCAAGAATATCTGGTTTGTGTGTTTTGTGCCTGAAACTCCCAGCAATGACCACCAAGCCTTTGTGTTTTTTCTCTATGGTGAACGGCGAGACCAGCACAGACAGGGATTTGACCTCTATGCTCTCCAGGTCAACAGAGGGCAACGGTAACTGTTGGTACCACAATAGCTTTAGTTCATGGCTGTAACACAAAACTTGCCAGTCGTCTGTGACCACAACAATGACCTGTGGAGAGAAATAACGCAGTAAAAAAAATTTAAAAAGTCCCAAACTATAAAAGTCTGTCTCACAAATCACTACTTTTTCTCCTCTGTTAAAAAGTTTGTAAGAAAAACATTTCAGAGCCTCTTTAGAGTTCATGTATTGAGGAAATAGTGTTCAACAGTTTATGCTAAGTGCATGTGTAAAAACATTTTGATAAACAGTTCAAAATTTTAAAGCCTGGATCTGAGATTCTACAAATTCTGACTAAGCTAGTCATACTTCAGGATAGGAAATATGTCCTTTCTAAAATACAAACAGACCAAATAAAATAGTAAGTTGGTTTCACAATCTTTCCGGTGCAAACAGACGAAAAAACTCAGGGCTTAAAGAGTTAAACAAAACTACAAAAGAATTACCTGTTTCCTTATCTGCATCATTGACAAGTAAGGCTCAATGAACCCCACACCGACAGTATGAGGTCGTGGTATGTGACCTTTTGACCTCCCCTTGAACATCATTTCAGCCTTGTGCTTGACCATGACATGAGCTAGTGTCTTATCTTCCTCCTCACTTCTCAGGGGCATAGCGAGAACATTCAGGTGCACCAGATCGTTGGACACGAGCACGATTTCATTCACTCCATCTCCTTCCAAGTCTGTCACAATAGGCAGAGGGTTTCGGTCTACATCAGTCGTGAACTTTCCATTAACAAACTTTGAGATTTCACTGCGTTTTCGCCACATGGGAGTTAAGGAATATGAGTCTCTTACTCTCAGCAAGTATCCGAGCACGATGCACAAGCAGGCATAAACCAGCTCTCTCAGACCAAATCTCAAATTCATGTTGTTAATTGACTCTACCATTTTAAAAGTTTTGATCTCTCTAAAGATGCACGGTGTCTGCTGCTTTAAATTGTCATCCCTGGATAATATTATATTGCAGCTATGAACAGGTCATACAGGGCTCTGCAATCAGCCCATCAGTTTGCACACAACATGGTTCTGAGGAAGAAAAACCAAAAGTATATATACATATAATATAGGCCATTTACATATAAAATACTCTACATGATACTAAAATAAAAAGACTGAAAAATTAAGGAATGCCAGTCAATGTGTCTTTTTGCGTTTTTTTGCATTTTAGTATGACCCTCATTCATTAGTAGGCATGGATGTCAAAAAGAGCATCTAGATCAACAGATACAAGAATGAACTACCTACTCACTGGCTGAGATGTCCCATTCCATAGAGGCAATGAGAGGCAACACAACAGCAAGCTAAATTTGATACACTCCCTGTACTTGTAGCCTACAGCCTATGATTACAATGTTGAGTATGATTTATAACTCCCCTCAACACTCAAGAGGCAAAACTTCCGTAACAAGCGACCACTATGAGACAGTAGAACAGAGGGGTAGAAGACAGGGATAGGGGTAGGGGTAGGGGTAGGGTTAGGGTTTGGGCTAAGGTTTGGCGTTGGGTTAGGGTTAGCCTATGTCTCTTTTTCATTGTGTCTGTTGGGGTGGTCGCTCGTTACGGAAGTCCTCTCTGTAATTGGGTCGACTGAGGGAAATAATCAAAAACAAAAACAGTCCAATAAATCTTTATGCAGCTTTCTTCTCTTGCCTTATTAATCCATAAATTATATTGTCTGATGCAGATTGTAAATCAAAAGCAGACAAGAAAAGACAGTAGTCTAGTGTAGACAGTAGTCTAGTGTAGACAGTAGTCTACTAGTCTAGTTGAGTAGTGGAAACAAAGACGGCAATTATTTACTTTCTCGCATTAATTCCGGTAGTCGACAATGGCCGCGCCTAGACGAAACTCTATGCATCCCCAGGTCCAACTGGGATAAATTCAAACTTTGCGCAGGAGTTAAGAATAGGCCTACGTAAACAACGGCAATTTTATTGGGAAGATTGAAGAATACCTGACCACACGTATATATATATA